AAAAAAACCCATAAAATAGATGACTTCCATTTGTTTCCCCACCCCCCAATATGTTCCAATGTGCTTTTTAAAATGAATTTTAGAGAAATATTTTCTGCATCAATTCAGTGTCTGTATTACAGACAATTAATCTTCAAACTTCAAATAAAAAAAGAAAAAAAGTCAGAGTCCTCACTTGATTTCTTCCTGTTAGCTCAAAGTCAGGCAACGGGCTTCAACAGGAAATTCATCCACTCTCCTCTGTAGGACTTTTGGTATGTCCTTTTTTATTATCACTATTTCTCCTTTCGTCCTTCTTACATTAATTCAATTCAAATCCCCAGTGGTAAAACTGTGTCTGTATGATGTTCATCTAATCTGGCAGATGTGCTGAATGTTAACAAGCAATATAAGAGGTCGGAGAGGTTGCAGAACATTCGTTACACCAAACAGACATTCAGATTATAGTATTCAGACAAAAATAAGCATCATCAAAAAGTGTATACTGCTAGTCAGAGTTGTGAGTATCCAAACATTTTTACTAAGCTCTTTGTGTCTTTTGTGTATTTTCTAAGGCACATTTATAAAAGATACTTAAATGTCCTAATTGAACTATGGCTTAATCTAAGCTTTGTCTGTGAAACCAGGCCTAAAAGTACAAAGTACATATTTGGCAGATCATCATGAAAAAAAGAAACCGTTCCAAGTCAAAAACTTTTACTTTTAAAACCCTGTCGGCAGCATCTGTAGCCTTTGGTTGATCACTACAAAATATTAATTTTACCGGTCCCTCATTTTGTACAGAAAATGTTTACAATAATACTCTTACATTGAAAGTCTGGTTGATTACATAGGCAGAGACATGAAACTTGTATTTTTGTTAAAGCACTTTCATTAATTTTGCAATTTATTTCAGGTGAATTTTAGTTATATGACTCCTTTGGGTGGTACTTTATGCCGAGTTCACACTGCACGATTTTAGCCCGATTTTTCACTCGCAGACAGGTTTTGCGAAATCGCCGACAAATGCCCGAAATCGGAGGCAAATCGGTGCTCGTTCACGCGAGTGACAATCACTCAGTGTGAATTATCAAAGACGCGATCTGAGAGAATCGCAGACGTCCGTGAAATATTTGGCATGCTAAATATCTGGACCTGTCGGCTATTCAAAATCCTGCTGTGTGAAATTTGTTCTGACTGAAAAGTACATCGGCGATGACCTACAGCCAATGAGAGACCAAGATACAGGGCAGCGGGAAGTTCGGGGAGGAGTTCTCGTGATCCTGCGTTATCACTTCTCGCGTGCATTTGGTTGTGAAAAGTAGTTTGCGGACCAGACAGAGTTGTCTGCGATTCTTCCTATTGTAAATTCATGCAGTGTGTAACCTCCTGTCGCCGATCCATCGTGCAATGTGAACACAGCAGCAATTGAATGCTACCCCAGATAGTCGTGCAGTGTGAAACAACAGTGATCCGACGACTTTGAAAACCGTGCAATGTGAACTCGGCATATGTTTTTCACCCTCACACGAAACTCCCAATCTCGCGGATTCATTCTGGAATGACTGGATTTCGCACACAAAATGTCAGTCACAGTAGCTAAACGTGACCACTAGCAAAACATAGTCACATTCAAACATTTACATTCTGGTTGATCGATTATTTCAGGTCTACAAAACTGATTTCAATCAAAATTTCAGTCAGATCGAGCTCAGTCGGATCGACTGAGATGTTTACATGAAGGCCTTTCCGACCGATTAAGCCATCAATCTGATTATAAACAGGTTATTTGTGTGCATGAGTTTATTGACGCATCCGTGACAGTTTTGATTCCTAATAGTTAGTAATCATGTATTTTAATGTATTAAAATATTAATAACCATTTACAGCCAAATTAACAATCATTTTAAATCCTTGCATTCAGAAGTATTCAAAACTATATTATGCGATATATGGCACATAGCATATGAATAGACTTTTATATCACTGGACACAACTAAAATGTTGTAATTTTTTTTTTTTAAGTCAGATTTGCTTCATTGTTAAAATAATGTTTTGGATTAAATACAACATAGATACAAATGCAACTATTGATTACCACAGAAGCCAGAAAAACGCCGCAGTTACTCTCGTTCTATGGAAGCCATAGGGTGAATGTACCACAGCGAAATAAATGTTAACAACATATCAAAGGTGCACACATAACAATTAGGCAAATCTTTCGATGTGTCTTATATATATAGCATGAGAAGCTGAACTTGCCAGGTGTGTTTGTCCCTCGCGGTTGTGAAACGCCTGCTGCTCATGAGCTTGACTAACCAGTAGGTCAGTAAAGAGTGAGTGTTAAAACTGAAGTTGGCAGGCTAGTGCTGAGATTCCCAACCATCACAAACATTAGAGTTTTGTGGCTTTTGGTGTATCATGTGTGTGAGTTTCGAGGCCATAAATGTATATCCACCTGCAGCTGCTTAAAAAAGTTTCCACCCAAACTTCCTGTTTCAATAAGACATAAATCAACACAGAAAAAACCGCAAATTCATATATAGTTACGAAGTAAATCGTTATTATGGACACTCATAATAAATACCGCATTATACTGGATATTATTATCTTGCATATTAAGTTAAAACTGCATAATTTGTTCAATTTAGTGACAAAAAGTGGGGGTACTTATGGCGCAAAAAAAAAAAAAAAAAAAGAGTGATTCTGAAAGCCTTTGTTTTTATTTTATTTCAAAGTCTAAATTTTGTCTGGATATGGGTTAGCAACCTTTCTAACTGTGCCACAAGGCAGCTAATAAGCACTCCATGGCAAAGAACAATAGCCTACATAAAGTTGAGTAATGAACAGAATTCATATGCCTTATATCCTCTCCTGCTTATTCAATGTGTATTATAACTATCATACGTTTGTGTTACTGTAGCATTTGTATCTCACTGCTTATTTGACCCTTTTCTTAACCATTTCTGTATAACTCATATAATTCTGTATACATACTGAAAATATAAAATAAAGATATAAAGGTTTAAACACCCATCTGGAGATGAACTTTTTTTTTTTTTCTGCTATATGGCCCTGTCTAGGATAATTGTATTTTCCACTCAAAGGTGAACAAATATGTCATCTTTTGACTACATAATAAGAGTTTATTAACATCATGCAATCAGCAGGAACATTTTCAAAGACTACGTGAAAATCTTTAAAATACACTGTGAGCATGAAATCAAAGGTGGTGAAAAATTACGTTCAGGCAAGGCATATTTTAGTACACTCCACACTGGAATGTATTTCCACTGTACAGCACAGGTAAGGTTTGGCTGTGTAGCAGCAAGAAAATGAAATATTCCAGTCCTCCAATGCACTAGGTGGCACCAATAAAGAAGCTACGTGATATCAAAGTTCATAAAGTATAAATACTAATCAATTACTATAAATGTTGAAAATTTTTCCCGTACACTACAAATGTGTTTTAACAAACATGCTACAAAATATTCATCAAGCTGACTTCATTCTTATGAATGGACATGGGACATGGTAGGCAAAGTGGTACGTAGTACTGATAAGGATGCCTCCATTAGCCCAGGCACATCCTGTCAGTCATATACGTGTATACGTGTGAGATGAGCCGTGAAAATTGCCCCCTTTAAAATGCTAAGCTAATGAGAATCAATTCCAGGTGAACACATATCCCTCTTCATGCTGCAGATTTCTCTGTGAGTACCTAGTAATTCCTGTATGCTTGTTAAGAGATAAAATATTCCCAGGCAAAAAAATTCCCATTCTTACACAATGGACAATGTGACATCATTATAAGCAGCGTAGTGTTAAAACGGCCTTATGGGCCACACTCTTCAGATGGCCTGAGTTCAAGTCCTGGATCAAGGTCCTTTCCTGATCTTGTTTACCTCTCTCTTCCCACATTGCCTCTTGCCTCTATTTCACTGTCTTGTCAATAATCAAGAAAACAAAAAAGATCTTAAAATGGCTTTATTCAGTAGGGGAAAGCTAAAATATATAGCTATAGTATTGAA